CTCCAAAAAGCCATGACATCCCCACAGGCACAGCAAGATGCTCCTGAGGACAACATGGGGTTGATGTCTGCCCTTCTCACAGTTCACACTACGGCACTCAGAACTGACACCCCCAAGGCCCCGTGTCTGAGTTCCAGCCGGTAGACACCAGCTGATGGCTTCCCTCTGCTGCAAACGGGTGCTGACAGGTGCTGCTGCTGCAGAAGGAAGAAAGGCCTCCCCGAGCCAGAGTCTTGCCTCCTTCCTCCCAGCAGATGCCAAGGGTATCTCAGGACTGCTGAGGGTCTGGAGCTTTCTGATCAGCCTGGGGTCACGGGGGTCAGGAAACGGGTGTGCAGGGGAGACAGAGGCCACCACAGGTCATTCATCTCAAGGTGCCATGCCAAGATCCCTCCCCCATCCTTTCACCAGGGACTTGGTGCATAGGGACAGATCTTAAGGATCAGCTATCCCTCCCCATCCTGCAACAGAAGGTGCCCATGGGAATGAGAGGCAACCAGGCCAGCTTCCCCAGTCCCCAGAGAAAGCCTCCTCCCACCCCAGGGCTCCCAAGTCCATGCAAAGTTTCTCACATGATCATCTGTCATCTGGATCCCAAAGGGAGCACGAAAGAGAAGTTTTAAAACAGCTTCAGCTCTCTAAAAACGGTCCCTCCACTGACGACAGGTGTCAGCCGCTGTGCAGGTGTGTGAGCAACCCCCTGAAGGAGATCTCCCCTCGGGGCTGCTCCTTGCCCCTGTTGAAARGGGGGCTCTGTCCCAGATGGGGGCACAAAGTCTCGGCCCACAGAATCAGAGTGCAGGACTGGGGGTGCAAAACTGCCTCATTCCCAGGTACCAGCACCCGACTTAGGTACGAGTATTAAGAAAGCCCCTCACCTTCATGAAGTCAGAGGGGAGTAATTCTCCAACTTTGAGAGTGAAAGTAGAGAATTAAAAATCCCTAACGTGGCTTCAGGCCTAAGCTACCTCCAGTGCAATTTGCCAGGGAGTCGGGACATTAAGGCCTAAGCCAACATGGGGGTCCTGTTTGGCTCAGTGGATAACCCATTCATCAACTCCACAGGAGAGGAACATGCCTCCAAACCCAGCCCCTAAGTGAGTGGATGGTTTAAGTAGGCTCAGTGACCACAGAGGTCCAAACAAAGGTTCTAAAGAGAAAAGTGGGACAATGCCTGGGTGGCATAGTCCCTAGCTGAACCAAAAAGTCCCCATATCCAAGTATGAGATGATGGATTTAGGGGGGACCCATCCCTGGTGTAAAAATCTGCACCAGTTCATTAACAGTCAATGTGGATGTAAACAGGGAATAAGAACTCTGCATCACTGCATCTTACAGAAGTCAGTGTTCATGGTGACTTCAGTGACGGTCCATCGTGCTCAAAAGCTGAAAGGATCTGGTTGTCAAATCAAACATAACACACAAATGCATCAGACATAAACCCAAATCCATGCCTGTTTCACCAGTTTCAATGCATCCATTTCCCACCACATAACATTAATGTTGGAATTCTGTTCGTRCTCTATTTTTATCTGCACTTAATTTTAAATGCACTTTGGCTTTGCAATTGCAAAAGAGCCATTGTTTTATGTTTGTGAATATTTAAAAAATAATTTAACATTGTAACCTTTTGAGTTAAAAAGGCTACGTGTACTTGTCCACTTAACACATACTGGCTAATCCTAAGAAATTCATCTAGTTGGGTCCTACCTGATTTCTGGAGAAGGTCCAGATGGAAAACATTTTTGTATACAAGAAATTCCCCCTATTATCACCCTTTGTGTGCTACCCAAAAGCAAGAACCCAAGAGCAAGAACCCAGACTCTTGTTCAGAACTAAGTCTTTCAATAACCCAGAGGTTAACTGTCTCAATTAACAAGCACTGTGTATCTTTTACGATAACCCCTGAAACATGAATCAAAAAGACAAAGGACAAAAGCGAAACTACCAAACCACTCTGGAAGGAAAAATATGAAGTTCCCAAATGAATGTGTTGCTTGAAAATATAAACCATTTCTTCTCAGTTTGGCTCTGTCGACCATCTCGGAAAAGGATGTTTTTACAATCAGGGCAGAAATATGACTGGCCGCTCCTACATTTACATTTCTTTGTTGCAAAATGAATGTGACTTGTTCGGGTTCCAGCAGCAGAGAAAGCAGCAGAAGTGGTGGTTACTTTCCAAAGTGAAACTTAAAACCACAGTCTCCGGTGCACAAAAGGCAGAGTGAGTCACAGGAAGGGGCCACTTGCTTGCAAAACTCATTAAAAGCAATGCAGGCTGAATGGACTTCCTGCGCCGATGAAAAGATCCTGGCATCAGGACAGGCACCTCCAGGCTCCAACAATTTGGGGGAGGAAGGGAGCCATTAGGAATCCGGGCACAGCCTGCCAGGCTCCTTCCCATGCACCTCCACCCTGCCCCAGGCTGCCCAGCCTGTGGTCCCCTCCCAACCCTGATGGCTCACATCAGAGATCTCAGGAAGGGTGCTTAGATGTGTCACAGGGTCAGGACGACACCTTCTGACTCAAGCAGGCACCCACACTGGTTTTCAGCCCCTTCTCGGGAGGTTAGCTGAGGCAAGTTCATCTTTCTAGGGATGCCCCTTTCCTTTCTGGGCAGGTCTGTGTGAGCTCTGGGCGCTTATCTTTCCCTGATCTGACCAGAGGAAAGTCAGGAGAAGGCAGAGGACCCTGCTCTGCAGCATCAAAGGAACCAAGCACCAGGATTCCCTGAAGGGGACTTCTTTAAACAGACTGCAGGGCCCAGCCACTGATTTGATTCAGTATGTCTAGAGTAAGGGCCCAAGAATTTGTTTTTGTATCGAATGAGCTCCCTGTTGCTGGAGCTGCAGGCCAGAGACGACACTTAGAGAACAAGAAACCTAAAAGGACACCAGACCTGAACAGGCAGCCACAGGCTGCTCCCCCTATGAAATCAGTCAGTGATGCTGGGCCTCAGGCTGTGCCAACTGGATATACTCTGGTACCAAAACAGTCCCCACAAGGCACGTCCCCGTCTCCCTCCAGGTCCAGTCCACTCCTGGCTGATCTCCAAGTCCAAGCACCATAGGAAGGGGGGCCTTTGGCRAAGTGGGAGATGCTTTTTAAAAAATGTGCTGCCAAAACAAAACCAATTGTGCCCCCAGGTGGCCACTTGGGCCATTGACTTCCAAGGACATCTTCTGTTTGGTCATACCCTGGCTTCCCTGGGTACCAAGCCCCCTGCCTGGCTTGCAACAGAAGTGACTCCAATCACCACCTTTAATGCTGGAGTTGAAAGGAGGTTAGAAGAGTAAAGTCAGAAACTCCAGTGGCCTTTTAACCACTTTCTCTAAGTTTAAGGAGAAGTTGAGACCGAGCACTGCTCTCACAGACAAAATACAGATGATGAAAGGGAGGCAGAAGAGGGAGATGGACAGTGATGTCCAGACAGCTGGCCAGATAGTAGTCCTGCAGGAGGAGGGTACTTAGATTCTGGGAGCTTGTTTTTATCCTTTTCAAATGCACCCTCCTTRTGTTCCTCCAAGATGATTCTGTTCCTGGCTTGAGCCACGGTGGCATGCATTACCTGCTTGGAAAGGGCACTCTGTGACCCAAGGTTGATGGCTGCAACCCACCATCTCCACTCCTCAGCCCCAGATGCTAGGGCAGTGCTGTGCTGGTGTTGAAAACATGCTATAAAGCATCTCAAATGGTCAGATCACACCTGAGACACGGGACACCAATCTACTGGACTAGTTTCCCTGGATACCTGTGGGAGCTGGTGCAGAACTACAGTCACAGCTGAAGCTAACGGTTAGGTTACAGGTGAAAGAGCCTGCTGACTGGATCCGAGCTGGAGTGAATCTGTGACAAAGCTCTCGACACTGTGTGAGGCTCGCTTTGCCACATGAGACACACAGCCTTAGTACTACAGATGCCAGGGACAAATCATGTGGATCCTGGCAGTGTGAGGAACTCAGCCTAGTTCTCCTGCAGCTCTGTTTCCACATTTAGGTACCAAGAATCTTCCACTTACTTCGAAATGCTAAGGTTAACTTAGGTAATCACCAGGAATCTCCAGCCGTGTTGACTAAGAATTAAGCCGTTCTTAGCCTAAATAATTTAATAGGTCAGAGACTGTGATTCATTCATTTAAATGATAAATGAACTTGCAGTMCACCACAAAGAAGTCAAAAGTGCACAAGAGGGCAGCCTATGAGGCCAAGGACCCCATGTGTAAACACTGATTGGGGCCAGGCCCTGGGAAGCACCTGGGGATCAGCATCTTCCTGAGACTCCTGGYTCCTAAGTCGCCCTACCCAAACAGGGAGGAGCCCCAAGGTACAAGCCACCCTTCTCCTTCTTCATCGCTCTTGTCCCTCTGAAGAAGGGACACTGAACCATCAGAAAAGATGTTTATTCTAAGGGTGAGCAGGCCACCGCCTTCAGGATCATGTTCAAGTAGAGAATAAAATGCTGTGCTTGATGACACATCAGAAAAATAGCAACCTAATGACTTACCAAAATCTATTTAAAATTCACTTGCCTGATTTTCAGAGAAGTCTTTTTTCCACCTCATCATTTATTACAATATTTTTTAGCTTTGCATCCAGCACAACATAATGAAGTATTACAGTGATTTTCATCATTGCACCAGCATACACAAACACACATCAAATATTGTCAATAAAATAAAGTGGTGATCCAAACCTCAGAACAAAAGGGGAATTCTTTTTTTTTTTAAGAGAGAGTGAGAGAGGGGAGGGGGGGAGAGAGAGAGAGAGAGAGAGAGAGAGA